GCGGAAAGATGTCAAGTCCCGCAGGGCCCTAGTCTCTTGTGACAGAGCGTTCCACCAGATCAGAGCCACAGCCGAAAAAGCCCTGGCTCTAGTTGAGGCCAGCCTAACCTCTCTGTGGCCTGGGACCTTCAGGATGTTTTTATTTGAAAACCGTAAGTTCCTCTGTGGGACATACCAGGAGAGGTGGTCCCGTAGGTACGAGGGTCCTAGGCCGTATAGGGCTTTAAAGGTTAAAACCAGCACCTTAAACCTGATCCTGTACCCCACTGGGAGCCAGTGCAGCTGGTATAGCACCGGGTGAATGTGATCTCGCAGCAAGGACCCCATAAGGAGTTTTGCCGTGGCATTCTGCACCCGCTGGAGTTTCTGGGTCAGTCTCAAGGGCAGCCCCACGTAGAGCGAGTTACAATAATCCAGTCTGGAGGTGACCGTCGTGTGGATCACAGTGGCTAGGTCAGGGCGAGAGAGGTAAGGCGCCAACTGCTTAGCTTGGCGGAAATGAAAAAATGCCACCTTTGTTGTAGCTGCAATCTGCGCCTCCATGGAAAGGGAGGTGTCGAAGATTACACCCAAACTCTTAACGGACGGTCTGGCACTAATTGCACCCCCACAAGAGATGGGAGTTGCCCCCCCCAATCCCATATCGTCCTTTCCCAGCCAAAGGACCTCTGTCTTTGAAGGATTTAACTTCAACCGACTCCATCGTAACCATCCAGCCACAGCTTCCAAACATATGATCAGTGTGTCTGGGGCCGAGTCAGGATGGGCATCCATCAACAGATAGAGTTGGGTGTCATCAGCATACTGATGGCAGCCCAGCCCAAAACTCCAGACAAGCTGGGCGAGGGGGCGCATAAAGATGTTGAAAAGCATCAGGGAGAGTATTGCACCCTGAGGCACTCCACACACCAAGGAGTGGCACGATGACAGTTCCCCCCCAAGTGCCACCCTCTGCCCCCGACCAGAGAGAAACGAGCGCAGTCATTGAAGGACTGTGCCCTGGATCCCCACGTTGGCAAGGCAGTGGTCCAGGAGTTCGTGATCGACCATGTCGAAGGCTGCTGACCGATCTAGAAGAATCAGCGGCCCTGACCCGCCTCGATCCAGCTGCCTACGGAGATCATCTGTTAGGGCGACCAGAGCCGTCTCTGTCCCATGACCAGCGCAGAAGCCGGACTGGAATGGATCCAGGGCTGATGTTTCATCCAGAAACCCACCAAGCTGTTCAGCAACCGCGCTCTCAATTACCTTACCCAGGAATGGAAGATTCGAAACCGGGCGGTAATTGGATAGATCTAAAGGATCTAATGATGTTTTCTTAAAGAGTGCGCGCACCACTGCCTCCTTCAGTTCCCCTGGGAATGTCCCGGTGCCAAGGGACAAATTGATGATATCCCCTAGGGGGACCCGCACCTCGTCTGGACATGCTCTAATCAGCCAAGACGGGCATGGGTCGAGAGGACAGGTGGTGGGCTTTCCAGCTCGGAGGAGTCTGTCCACATCAGCTGGGGATATCTGGTCAAAGTGGTCCAATACTGGACCCGAGGACAGTCGAGGGGCCTCCAGATCTGCATCAGACCTGAAGAGACAATCTCTTAAGTGCCTCTTACCCAACTGCATGAACACCTGAAGATCTTGTAATTGATATTGGGTCAAGAGGCGTTGGATGCCATCCTTCCAACATTTGGCCTGTTCTCGTTCTGTGTGGGATATAGCGGGGAATCTCCTCCGAGAGAGATTGAAGTCTCTTCACGTAGTTTAGACACAGATAGTCAGTTCTAGTCCATATTGTTCACGTACGCTTCCGCGCGGAGAAGAACAGCTGGGGTCCCATTGGGGAGCGAGAACACTTTTCTGAGGAATTTGTTCTGCACTATTTCTAAGACTTTGTTAGCATTTGGATCCACGCCCCATATCGCTACTCCATAGAGCATCTGGGAAACCACTTTACTGGCAAAGATTCTCAACGCAGGTTCTAGTAACTGGCCACCCACTGTAAAACAGAATTTCACTAATGCCCCACAAGCTTTCTGCGCTTTGAGTTTCACAGCCTCAATGTGCCCCTTCCATGATAGTGTCTCAGTGAAAATAACTCCCAGATACCTAAAGGAGCGTATCTGCTCAAGATTCTGCTGGTCCATTTTCCATTTGAAACGGGGGCTACGCTTCCCAAAGACCAAAATTTTGGTCTTGGAGTAATTCACGACAAGCTGTTCCCACTTGCAATACGAGCTGAAAGCTGTGAGCAGATTATTAAGACCTAATCGGGAAAGTGATAGGAGCACCACACCATCGGCATACAGCAGACAGGGTATCTACCTATTACTAACTGATGGAGCAGGGGATTGCGCCTGTGTTAGATGTGGCACCATGTCATTTATATAAAAGTTAAAAAGTGTGGGAGCCAATATGCAGCCTTGTTTCACGCCTTTGTTGTCTTAAATGACTCCGACAGACTTCCCCTTAAGCCCACTCTAATTCATGTTTCGGTGTCACAATACATTTCACGGATTAATAATAATAATTAATAAGGACTTAATAATAAGTCATAGCCATACAAAACTGCAAATCTTTCTCGCTCTGCCGTATTGGTTCCTTTGGCTGTGGACTGAGCTTGTTGATTAGGGGTAGAGTGTGCTGGTTCAGGGGGGAGGTTGCCGTGGGGCGAGGTCCAGGACCTGAGTCGAGGGTCAGCAGACAGTCCTCCACGGGCAAAGCGGGGTCCACAGCGAGGAGCCGGGCAAGGACAGGAACTCTGGGGGAACCGGACTGGGTGCTGGCCGAAACAGCTCTTCAACAACGTTCCTCCCGCAACCTGGGACCGGGCTGACTGGCCTTTATCTCTTCTCTGAGGCCAGGGGCGGTCCCGGCCCCCAGGAGACCCGCCTCTTCTGGCCTTAAGGCGAGCACTCCTGGGAGAAACCAGTTCCCTCCGCCTCTCTGCCCTGAGCCTCTGCTGTTCAGGAGAGGCTGAAGGGTTACTGGACCCAGGGGGAGACTCACCTGTAGGCACTGAGTCCTCAACCACCTCCAGAGCTAGAGTGGATTCACCTGGTCCCTGCTCCTGAGGATCCGGCACAGGTGCAGGCGCTTCAGAATCAAGGCCCTGCCCCAGTTCAGACGGCCCTGGAGGCGGGGACTCCTGTGCAGGCTGGGATTCCTCCGGTTCAGCCTCTGAATCGGATTCCCAGGCCATCACATAGAGCTTGTCTTGAACTGCATGTTGTTATGATCCAGGTGTGTAATAAAAGAATTTTCACATACTAGTGCTGGGGCAGGAGACCAGTTACCCAACTGTTCATGGTCGGAGGAGTTTTGCCAGCCTTCTGTTTGTGGGTTATGGTCATTAATGCTCCTTAAGGTTGCAAGATTCAGTGACGCTTGGGCAGGGCCAGTGGGGTTAGCCCTTAGGCTATCTTCAGTAGCTGTATGGCTAGTTACCACTGGATGGCAGTAGTCTAGGACGGTCTTTTGTAGGAGAGGCGGGGCTGTTTCTTTATTGCTCTGCTTCCTCTCTTGGGCTCTAGTTAGCACCATGGTGGATTTATTGCACGTTTGTTCTGGGTACCTCTGAAGGCTCAGTGGCTCTCAGTGACAGACAAATGGAGCTAGGTGTAGTGGACAGGCTTGTTAACAGGGAATTTCCTCCGAGCCAGGGGGAGGCAGGCAAATAAGAGTGGCCAGCCACAAGAGTTCAGCAGCTGAATTAGCACAAAGTGGGCTGAGATAGTTTCCTCACCACCCCCTCGCCTCAGAAGCAACAACACTCTTGTTTCTCATCCTTTGCCAGGACTCAGAAGAAAGGAGGAGAGGGGAGACTAAGGCGTGAAGCAGCTCATAGTAATTAAGAGTAGATTGCAGTCGTTCTGTAATGCCTCACCGAGAGCGCTGGGCTCTGGAGTTGGTGGTATCATCTGGTGTTACTCTCTGTGAGGCGGTAACTCATATTAAACTCTCTCTGCTTTTAGATTATGGCAGGTGAGGTGTTACATCTGGTGAGGTGTCTCCGGTAATAGCAGACCGGCACGGCGACCAACAATAAAACAATAAAATAGGCCAGTAAAGTCAAACAACAGGGGGGCTACACGTAAAACTAATGGACTGCGATAAAAGCATTTAAAGCTGAGTTATAGGGTCAGAGATCCGCTAGAAGCTGCTGCCTCGGATGCCCTCTGTTTTTCTTGAAGAAACTGGATATGAGAGTTAGAAACTGTTACAGCTTTACCATCAGTTGGTGATACATGGCCCAAGAACTGCCAATCAGGAAGTGAAACAATTGAGACATGTTCCTCAGTTTTCCTTGATGTATAGTATTTCTCGTCTAATTTTTCTCGCATTAATGTCACATCTTTTCACCCATCAACAAAATCCACCACGAAACAAAGTTGGTGCTATTTGAACTTCTTCACATATAGTACTTAACTGCTCTGTGGACTGTTAATTTGTCTACTATTTCTGGAATAGTGTATGTACGAAGAGTGGCATTGACAATGGAAGCTGTGGCTCTTATCAGAGACCGAATTCTGCAACTTGGCTTCTGCTATCTCCTGAAGATCCCTTCCTCAATTCTTCAAAGAGATTTTGGCAACACTAGAAGGACTATAGGTCAAGGTACAGTACTTGGTTTCACCTGGAAATCTAAGTCTGAATTATTTGCAGGACAAATATCTTCCTCTGTTGTTTCAACTTTATCTTCACCACAGTCACTGGTATCAACAATATCAACATTCTCGGCAGCAACTATTTGAAAGTGAGATTCTTGTTGTCGTCACTGTGCAGCCCTGGTTTCCTCTGCTTTCTTCCTTGACTCTTTCTTCTGTTGTTTTCTGGTAGCCTCTTTATCCACTGTACTACTTACGGTCATATTCTGAATGGATCGCTGATCTTTGAGAAATTCACTCTCTATCTTTGACATATTTGTCAACAACTTCAAACAAACAGGAAATTCCTTTCAGAAACACATCTTTTTTAAAAAAATAAATAAATTTTAATTTCTTTTTCACAAAAATTTAAACAAATACACACATATAAACAAACAAACATACATCATAGCTTTTATAAACCTTGATCTAATTAATATTGTTTAGTGACTTCCTCATGTCCTCCTGGTTGGATTTCAATATATATCATTTTAACGGTTTTCCAAATCAATGTTCTTATAAAATTAACTTTTATCTCTTGACATCTTTCTTCCCAATTCAGTATTAAACCTATTAATCCATCACATAATACATATTGTAGTTCTAAGCCTGTTCGGTATTTGCAAGGTTTTCCCAACTAATTTAACTTAACATATTTAACTAAATAGTCATTAAATTTCTTCCATTCTTCCTGGAACTCCTCCTCCTTCTGGTCGCAGACTATTCCGGTCAGGTCGGCTAGCTCCGAAAATTCCATCATTTTCATCTGCCAATCTTCCACTGTTGGCATTTCCTGGGTCTTCCAGTTCTTAGCTAGTAAAATTCAAGCAGCAGTTGTGGCATCTGCAGAAACGCATCTTTCTTGACGCTTTTCATACACTTTCAGAACACGGGCCCTAATTGTGTCTTTTCAGACTGTTGGTACGGATGCGCGTTTGTAAACACCTTCAACACAACAATCTCTGCAATAATACTGTGGCCTTGGCTGTTTTCCTATGTCCTGTGTGAAGACTGAAATTTCAATTCAGTGGAGGAAGGTCAAGATACTGATATGCAAGATATTAACTGATATCCAACAAGGTGCCACTAGCCACAATCTGGCTGGCTGCAGACTTGGAGAAGCTCTCTCTGACTTTGCTTCCTTTTTTAAAGCCCGAGTTTCAAGGCCCACCTGAGCTGGCTGCGCTCGCCTCCATGGCAGGGGGCGCTGCAGGGAGGGGGAGGGAGATGGGCTTTCTTCTTTCTTTTCTCCCCCCCTTCCTAGGCAGGCGTGTGCTTAGCGTATCACCTGCCACTCAGGGACCTGATTGAGGTTATTGACCATTTTTTGGGGGGAAGGCACTGAGTTGTTGAGCTATTTTGGGTGTGTGTGACAAAAAAACACTCCAAAAAATAAAAGCCACTGCCACTCGCATGTAGCGATACAGCTATCTTTACAGTATGACATTACAAGCAGTGATCTAAAACTATATTACAAGGCTGCGTGTCTAACCTGTATTAGGGATTGGTGCATATTACAAAACTCAGACCTGCTCGATAGATCTGGAAAGCTACAACAACTGTTATGGTCGGCATGCTTACCTAGGGTACGATAAAGTAAAGATTCATAAGAATTTCTTAAATCGTCGTTTTATAAAAAGGTCTCTTTATATGATCTGGGCAAAGTATGAAGAGCTTTTGGAACCTAAAACACCATGGTGGATCTCCCCCCTGGAAGCATTTGCTGTGAAAAAGAAAAACGTGGAAGAAAATTGACCGGTATATAAAGCACTACTCGAGAGTTTTTGCAGGAGTTTATATACCCTCTATCTTTGTGCTCTTTGCTCTTCTACTTTCAAGGCTTGCTGGGTTCTGGGAGGGATGGAGTCTGGAGCGCTTTCTAAAGACACCGCTGTTGCGCCTCTGCTGCTGCTGCTACCTCCTCCTATTATTTCCCAACTCTTCCCCCCCTCATCTGCCTACTGAGTCACATTCTCTAAAAAGGATTTGTTCATTACATTCTCGCCAGAGTAGCCATGAGAGGGGTCCAGTTTATCACTTGAATTGCTCTTGGGAGATCAGATCTCTATTATCATAAAGAGCACACACAAAAAGTACAGTTTAATCATTTGCATGTTTTCTTAGCTATGCCATGTATTATATCATGCTGGATGACACGCTAGAAGGAAAAGCTGAGATAACCCAGGGGTCAATTAAGTTGCTTTCTGTGTCCAACGTTTAAAAGTTGTAAATCTGCGTTTCTTAAAAATTTTTATTTTCAGATTACAAAAAACAATGAACAAGAGTTCATAACAACAATGTTCATTCCAATCAGTGAAATCAACATGTACAATGTCCTGTAATAAACATTTCAAGTATTATTCCAAAAGGTCTTGCCACATTTTTGTATGTGTTGATGGGGGACTTCCTTGTGCCCGGTATTTTTACATAATCCAATAAATGGTTGCCAATTTGTTATAAATTGAAAAGAGACAGGTATTCCCTCTTAGCCAAGAAACCGACATGCCAATTCAAAACTGCTAACACAACTGACCTTATTCTAGTCGAGTGGCTCTCAAAACGTCTTTCTCTGGGCCACACTTTCAGAATAAAAATTAGCTCACGTCGCGCCAATTTTTTATTGAGAAGAAAAAACATGAGAAAATAGAAAGAAACGAACTCTTAGCAGTGCTGATTTATAACATAGCACACAACTACCATGTAACATGATTATGGGATATCCAGAAAGTATAAAACAATGCAGCTACAGAAGAACATGAACTATTGCCAAAATATAAAATAGTTGTGTCCAGCACTCAGTTTGAACGGCGATTCTGCATCACAACGATGATTGTCCTCAGCATCATTTTTTTTAAAAAAAAAATACATACAAACTATTTAAAAGGCAGGTACAGAATAAACATCCATGAGCCATCCAGTTCAATTGTTTTCACATTTAATAACCATAATACTTAAATAGAAAGTTGTGTGAATGCATGTCGATAATAAGAACAACAAATTCCCTGGAGAAATTAGGCTTTCTAACTACATTGTTAAAGTTATGCCAGAGCTAACTTTTGAAACAAGCTATTAAAAATATTTTCCTAAGCAAATAAAGCATAAAGAAAATGAAGAAAATATAATAGCGATCGACCAAACTACTGCAACCAAGGAAAATAAAAATCCTATTACCTGAACTGTATGGAGAGCCAAATTATTTGAGTGTACTTTGCACACGTGCACTTACTGTTATCAGAGAAACGGAGAACTGTAGCGTTGGAAGGGGACCCCAAGGGCTACGTAGTCCAACCCCCAGCAATACAGATAGGCTTTCCCATATTTTGCATTTCCCCTGTACTTGACACTTTGAAAGCTACAATCCTTAAAGGTCATACAGTCTCCCAACTTGCACCGTGTGACTTACTTCTGAGTAAACATGCATAGGCATACTCTGCAAATGCTGTTTCGTACAACTTGTGGAAGCAACCAAGTGCTTGAAATAACACAAGCCACACGTTAATTGTCTTCATTGCTTCATATACGCGGGCAGAAATGTTTTTAAGATGAGGATGCTACATATATATTACACAAAATAATGGAAATAATACTTGACACGGCCTGATTCTATGGATGTCTCCTGCTATTCCAGTTCTTAAAATGTGACTGCTGCCCTGCAGTTGATAAAAAAATGCTTTGGTCCTAAAATACACAAAAACCACATACAAAACTGTGCTTAAGTCAGCAGGCCATAAACACTGTATAAAAGGTAATGCTTTTTTTTAAATGTAAAGGCAACCTGTAGAGCAAAGCAGCAAGGCATTTGATATTAAAAAGGGGATAAAATTGGGAAATTGCATAGGACACCTACTTCTTCATAGTGGAAAATGTTCATTGTCTGCAAAATTGACTGCTAACATTTGGAAGCGGGTAAGCAAATAGAGAGTAATCCAGAATGTACTTTGGTAATAACTCTTTGATAAGCCCCCTTGGAGTCTTACACAGGTAATAATGCAAAGTTTCTGGCGTCACTGGCTTATACCACGATTGCCGTTCCGGGAACTGCACAAAAGAAGGCGCCCGAACTCTTCCTAGCACGTAATTGGCGTCCTCATTTAGTCTTTCGTAGGAGCCAATGAAATCGTACCTGACCGCGCAGGGCTGGCACAGGTTGTAGATGGGCATCCAGTGCTCATTCATCCTCTCCACGTCTTCATCTAAGAGGTACTGGATGAATTCGGAGAAGGTGACGTCGTCGCCGGCGCTTTGCCCAGGGTTCTTCCTGTACCGTTTCACTATTTCCACACCGTACCTTAACTGGTATTCTTTGATCTCCTGAATTTATTCCTGTAAGCGGACAGCAGCCTCTCCATCGGGTCCCGGACAAAGATGAACTTGAAGTAGTGCTTGAGGCGGTAGCGGATCTCGTCCGGCTTCATGTCGCCAAGGAAAACCAGGTCCCTCCTGTGGTCCATCTTCAGCTGGGTGTTCACGTTCTCCAGGGTGCCGCCCAGCACCTTCAGAATGCGCTTCCAGTTGGAGCAAGCCACCTTGGGCACGTAGCAGTACAGGAAGCGGTGCTTGTCGCTCACCAGGAGGTGCTTGAGCACCACGCGCCGCTGCGCTGCCGAGAGCTCCCACACGCTCCGAGGGGTGCCCGCTTGCCCGCAGGCGGCCCGGATGGTCCGGTTGCGGATGTCGTGTATCACCTGCGCAGCCACGTCCTCCTCCTCCTCCTTCGCCACCCCGGCGCTGCCACCACGCCTTGCCGGCAGCTCTCCATGGGCAGGGTGCAGAGGCAGGGGCTTCACCTCTGCCAGGATGCCCTTCTCAATCATCAGGAGCAGGCTGCTCGATGCCACAATCACACCAAACATCAGCATGGAAGGCAGGAGCTGGCGGGGGCCGCTGCTCCGCGGTCGGGCCCTGGGAGTGGCCCCCGCAGGTGCTGAGGGGCCTGGAGACATGGCCTGCTGCGTGGCCTCGGGCCAGAGGGGCTGTTGGATGGGCCGGGTCGGCCCGTCCCTGCCGGCAGCCGCCTGCTTCGCTTCTTGTTGCAGATCAGCTGGGGCTGCAGCTGTCAGCCTGCCCAGGGCCGGTCAAGGATGGCAGGACCTGCTCCCTGCAGCTCTGCCTCCCCTCTTCGGTGTCTTCCGGGAGCTCTGGAGGTGGGTGCTGGGCGAGGAGAGCCAGTGCTGCTGCCGGAGGAGGAAGCCCTCAAGTTAGCCTTGCAAACTGGAAACGCGAGGGTTAATACCACAGAGCAGCCTTCCCCAAACTTCCTTCCTTTCCCCACCAGGAAGCAGATGTTGCCCATCATCTCTGAGCTGTGGGGCCAGGGTTGCTGGGAGCTGTAGTCCAACAAGCCTCCAAGGAGCGGAAAGGGGTGGGCGGTTTGGGAAGTTGCCTCATTGGCCACAGCCTGGAGGAAAAGCCGTCTGCAGTATCACTGGATGCTCTTAATCTCATTTTGAAAAGAGATCCATCCATATTCTGCAAAAAAAACCCTCACCCCAATCTTTATACGCTGCTATACTGAAATCTTCGAAGTTTCTTTGATTGTCCTTGATTGCCGTCATCTCCTGTCACACCAGGGTGGCATGACGCTTCCTTTGAGAACCCCTGCTCTAGTCTATTATGCTAGGATTCAACATTTAAACTCCATTGTTTCTGACAGCTAGTAACTTTAATTCTCACTGCTGTTAAAGAGGAAGGACAGTGGATCATTGTTCAATGATCTCTGGGTCTGGGTGACTTTACTCCCCAGCAATGCTAGTTCTGGTGTCATATCTATCTTTATACCACAAATTGAATTTATTTCACTGGGGACAAAATAATTTAATAACCCCACCGTGCAACCACAGGTACCTTAGTTGTTACACCCCTCTAGCAGATTTGACTGACTGGCTTGAATATGTTGAAGCGCCATCTATGATACCCATCTTTAAATATCTCAAGGCTTATCACATAGAAGAGGGAACTAGCTTGTTTTCTCCTGCTCTGGAGGGTAGGACTCAAACCATTGGATTCAAGTTACAAGAAAGGTGATTCCGACTAAACATTAGGAAGAAATTTCTGTGACAGTAAGAGCTGTTTGACAGTGGAACAGTCTCCCTCAGGAGGTTGTGGACTCCCCTTCCTAGAAGGTTTTTAAACAGGTTGGATGGCCATCTGTTCATGGATGCTTTAGCTGAGATTCCTGCATTGTAAGGGCTTGGACCAGATAACCCTTCCAATTCTATGAGTGTCTATGAGTGTCACGGCCTCCTCAATACACACAAAGCACAATGTTAAGGCCTGTAATGAGCAAGCTCAGACAGAGCACTGCTGTTTTTGGTGGGGGAGGAGCCCTAGTGGCTGGTCAGCAATACACTGGTGGGACCTGCACAGTGATGTCATGGAGTGACATCATAAAGCTGGGAGGGATGTTGGAAGCTCGCAGCTGCTTCGTCCAGGAAGCCGCACAACATTTCTGGGACCACTTCAGCCTCTGAAGTCCCAAGGACTGTGTTGCGTTGATACATCACTTTAGCCCTTGTCTAGACAGGAGGATTGACTACAGAGAGCAAAAGGTATGAGCTTGAAGGCATAAGGATACATGACTTTACGTCTTTATATACAGTTCTTTGATTGCACCAATTGTTTAACAGGTGTATGGGGTGTTCGGGGAGGTGGCGCCCTGCACTCAACTCTCACCTGTGGTTCCTAGAAGTTGTTAGCATGTGACAGCAGCCATACCCTGGAAATGGCTTTGACTGGCCAGCTAAACCAGGGGAGGGTAGCTGAGGGAGTCCCCTTTTCTGTGAAGAGAGCCAGTGTAGGGTATAAGAAGCTGCCTTACATTGAGCCTGACCCCTGGTCCATCCAGCTCAGTGTTGTCTACTATGGCTGGCAGCTACTCTCTCGGATTTAAGGCAGATGTCACTAGGGATTGAGCTATGGACTTTTCCCATGTGTTCACCGTGTTGGACAGTGGGCAAAAGTATGTGCCCAGCAACATGCAGGGCTGAGCCACCTTGCCCTTAGTTGGGAAACTGGCAAGGAAGCCTTAGGACCATTTTCCCACCCCACAGCATTTTTCATTTTGTGGGTTTGTGTGTCAGGGCTAACGGCCCTTTCTCACTGCTAGGATACTATAGGAGAAAATGTCAGGACATTATTTTCCTTTCCTATCTCACCTTTTCCTCCAAGGAGCTCAAGGTGGTAGATGTGGTTCTCTGCCTCTTCGTTTAATCCCCAACAACCGTGCGAGGTAGGCTAGGCTGAGAGGCATGACTGGCCCCCAAGGCCACCTTCAGTAAGCTTCACGGCCGAGTGGGGATTTGAACCCTGGACTCCCAGGTCCTGATCCGACACTCCGACCACTACCCCATGATGGATAATGAGAGGGCTTTCTTGGGAGTGGCACCCATCTTTTGGAACGCCTCCCATCAGGATGTCAAGGAAATGAGTAACTGTGTGTAACCGTTAGAAGACATCTGAAGGCAGCTCTGTATCATAGAATTGTAGAGTTGGGACCACGAGGGTCATCTAGTCCAACCCCTTGCAGTGCAGGGGGGCTTGAACCCATCACCCTGAGATTGCTCAAGCAACTGAGCTATTCCCATATTTTATACATGGAAGCCTTTTAATGTGTAGTGTTTTACAGTGGTCCCTTGGTTCTCAAACTTAATCTGTTCCAGAAGTCCGTTCCAAAACCAAAGCATTCTAAAACCAAGGTGCGCTTTCATAGAAAGTAATGCAAAATGGATTAATCTGTTCCAGACTTTTAAAGACAACCCCTAATAAAACAGCAATTTAACATGAATTTTACTATCTAACGAGACCATTGATCCATAAAATGAAAGCAATAATCAATGTACTGTACTATAAAATAGACTGTATTGTAGATGATAGAAATTAAAATTATTTTTTACTTACGTGCACTGATTATAGTAATTGTTTGGAGGGGGGTGGCTTTTATCCATTTCCGCAGTCACACAATCAATCAATCAATCAGTAGCTGAACTGGGTTCCACAGTCACAAAAACAAATTAACCGAAAAAGCCTCAAAAAGAAAAATGCTAAATAAATAGCAAAAACAAAAGTGCCAGACTTAATCTGTTCTAGAAGTCTGTTTGACTTCCGAATGTTAGAAAACCAAGGCGCAGCTTCTGATTGGTGCAGGCACCCCAGAAACATTAGCCAACAGCCGCATTGGACGTTCAGCTTCCGAAAAACATTCAAAAACTGGAACACTTTTGGGTTCTCGGCATTTGACTACCAAGGCATTTGAGAACAAAGATACCACTGTATTATGGTTTTTCTATATGTTGGAAGCTGCCCAGAGTGGCTGGGGCAACCCAGTCAGATGGGCAGGGTACAAATAATAACATCATTATTATTAGTACTAATAACTAGTACGTTTCAAGGAGGCTCCTCCTTTTAAGACATTACAGAAGAACATAAGAAGAGCCTGCTGGATGAGGCCAATGCACTCACGGTTGCTAGCTAGACAGGAATCGCGCAAACGGGGTCCGAGTTCGAGGTCGCGTTACGCTATGGGTCAACGTATTTTTATTTTGCAGACGTCTTCCGAGTGCTGGGCTTACCTCGATGGAGCCGGACATTCTCCAAAGCCACGCAGACACGAACCCGTGTGGCCGAGTCCCTGAGCCGGGGCCCCAGTCCCCAGCGCCTGTGGGCAAGGGGATGCCCGGGATGGTCCAGGGCGGGCTGAGCACCCTGTACCTGCACTTTCTCTCCTTGCGGGTGGGGCTCCTGGACTGGTATTTCTGCTTCAAGCAAATCCAGTGGGACCTCCTGCGGTGGATCCACGCCTCCTTCGAACTGGCCACCGACTTCTTTTTCTGCTGGGCCCAAAACATCCTCTTGGCTTCCATGATGCTTCTGCTGCTGGCCTGGAGGGCCCGGGACGGAGCCAAGGAGCGCGGGTGGAGATCAGTGCTACGGGGCTTGGTGAGGGGGCCCCAAAGGAGGTTGGGTCCTGAGGAGGAGGGCAGGGGAGCCGGGGCTGAATCCTGACCCTTTGATGTACTTGGAAGCCTTTATTGAAAGCCGCTTCTCCAGAGCCTCGCAGAGAGCAGCTTGCAGCAATAGCCAGTAATGGAAACATAGAGGTAGAATTGGAAAGGGTCAATCTTGTCCAACCCTCTACAATGGAGGAAAGATGCTCTCTGCCTTCAGACTTAGGACCCCATCTGCCCTCTCTACTTACAGCAGCATCCTGCGACTTTAAACAGGTAACGGCTTCTCACAAAAGAACCCTGGGAAGTGCAGTTTCTTAATGGTGCTGAGGGTTGCTAGGAGACTCGGATTCCCCTTGCGGAGTGACAGTTTCTCAAGAGTGGTTTGGCCGTTGCTGTTTTCCCTTTGGGAACCATAGAAGAATAGGGTCACCTCACGATTCTCAGCATCCTCGACAAAATGATGTGTCCTGGGATTCCGCATCCTTGACAAACTGTTTCCCAGAATTCTTTATGGGGAGGGAAGCTGAGATTGTTTAAAGTGTTACGATGCCGAAGGAGCGTCTCCCCCCATCGTTCAGCCCGGACACTGAGGTCCAGCTCCGAGGGTCTTCTGGTGGTTCCCTCCCCGCGAGAAGTGAAGTTACAGGGAACCAGGGAGAGGGCCTTCTTGGTAGTGGCGCCCACCCTGTGGAATGCCCTCCCATCAGATGCCAAGGAAATAAATAAATAACTGACTTTTAGAATATATCTGAAGACAGCCCTGTTTAAGGAAGTTTTTAACATTTGATGCATAATTGAATTTTAAATATCTGTTGGGAGCCGCCCAGAGGCTGGGGAAACCCAGCCAGATGGGTGAGGTATAATTTTTTATATATATATATTAAATGGATAGTTCAGATGGGACCTTAAATTCTGAAAGGCCCAACACAAAAGGAAGAAGGAATTGGGGAGGGGGAGGGGGCCTGCCATGGCCGCAAGGAGGCTGGCCGTGGCTATAGATAGCCTCTGCAGGACTTGTCACCGCTGAGGGAAGGCCCACCATGGAATATTGAGAGTGCCTGGCCCTGTCCTTTACAATTTGGGGGGTGGCGGCTCTTGGCCTCCCGTAGATGCCCCCCCTGTTCTTAGATGTTCTTTCTGGTGGTGGTAGCAGCCGGGGAGCAAGCTCCTGCAATGCCGTTCTTTCTCTGGCTGACGGTTGACCCCGAGTTGGTTGTCCCCCACACCTCCCCACTTCCTGGGAAGCAGAGAGCTGGCCCCACATTGGCCCTAGATCACCAGGCAGAGGCCAGACTCTGCTTCCTGTCTGATCTGCCATCCTAGAGCAACTTCTTCCTTTTGTCCGGCATGGCAACTTAACTGCAGGAAGTAGTAAGGATTTTAATTTGGTAATTGTGTTTGTAGACAGAAGTACCCATTTATGAGCTTTGCTGTTTAAAAAATATTTTGATTAGCTTGCCATTTCAATGATCATTTCAGATGGTTTAAAATGGTGATTTATTGTATGCGGTTTGCCGCAATATTTATTATACATTTATTGCAATTATATCCCACTTTTCTCCCAAGGTGGGAGCTCAAGGTCCATACATGGTTCTCCTCCCACTCCTCATTTAATCCCCAAAACAATCCTGTGTGGTAGGTTAGTTTAAGAGAGGCAGTGACTGGCCCCCAAGGTCACCCAGTGAGCTTTAGGGCCGAGAGGGGATTCGAACCCTGGTCTCCCAGGTCCTAGCCCGACACTCTTAACCACTACACCACATTGGCTCTGGTGGTGTATAGAAATGAATGACTGAGTCAATTCATGAGCCGTTCCTCCCAGCACTGCTGTTTGCCCTGCTGGGTGTGTGTGGCATGTTGCTAGTCCCTAACAGCCCTCGCCTTTTCCTTGCCAGGCTCCGAAGGGTCTGATCACTCGGGTTTTTTCCTTGCTGAATGCCTGCTGCCGGTACCTTGAGAGCCTTGTGGCTCGGATCGTTTGGGGTCTGGCTTTCCGCTTGACTTGCCCCATCGCCTGCATCACCCAGGCCCTGGAAAGCACCTTTCAGCATGCTGTCGAAATAGCAAGCGAGGAGGAAGATGAAGATGAGGAAGAGACTGCACTGGTGCCAATGCCATGCCGCGCCAACCTTCTCCCCAAGCAAGAGGAGCGGACCTAGCTGGCGTCCAATAAATGGCACTGGAAGCGAGCTTGGCTGTCTGCTTGATTCCTAGGAACAGTATGGTACAATATCTTTTTTGTCAGTGTCCCATACAGAACGATGAAATTGAAAAACTACATCAAACATTCAAAACCCAACAAGCCTCCTATCCCAGCTATCCCAACCTGGTCATCCCCCTAAAAACTCTGATGCCCATTTTTAAATACAATATACTCCCATACAGACTCCTTACAATGCGTTTAAAACAAAAATCGCATTTGGGTAGAAACTGTTTCTCAGGCAGCTTAGTCCTAGTCCTTATAACCCTGTACCTTCTTCCAGAAGGCAGAAGCTGAAAGAGATCGTTTCTGGGGTGCGCACTATCCTGCACTATCTCTGCAGCTTTCTCATGGCACCTGTAAGTGTAGATTTGATCCAAGGTGGGAAGAGTGCACCCAATTATGCTCTCCGCAGTCTTTACGACCCTGGACAGCATTGTTTTTTGCCTGACTGTGCAGCTCCCAAACCACACACACAGACCATAAGTTAATGTATTCTCCACAGTACAATGGTAAAATGCCATCAACAGGTCCTTTGAGAGATTGTTTTTCCGGAGGATTCTTAGAAAATATAACCTCTGCTCTGCTCTGCTCTCTTCATCAGGTCTTTGCTGTTTTCTCTCCAGGTTAGGTCATCTGTCAACTCCATTCCCAGAAATCGAAACACCGGGACCTGTTCCACGCACTTCCCCTCAATAATAAGTGGCTGAATATTCAATTTACATTTCCTAAAGTCCACAATAATCTCTTTTGCTTTCTTTACAGTGTGGTGTAGTGGTTAAGAGCGGTAGTCTTGCATTCTGGGGAACCGGGTTCGCGTCTCCGCTGCTCCACATGCAGCTGCTGGGTGACCTTGGGCTAGTCACACTTCTCTGAAGTCTCTCAGCCCCACTCACCTCACAGAGTGTTTGTTGTGGGGGAGGAAGGGAAAGGAGAATGTGAGCTGCTTTGAGACTCCTTAGGGTAGTGATAAAGCGGGATATCAAATCCAAACTCTTCTTCTTCTTCTTCTTCTTCTTTAAGTTAGATAGATAGTTTATTACGGCCATAGGCCCATATTCAATACATCATACAGCAACACAGGTATAACAAGATAAAATTAATAAATTAAATTACGTTTAAATCAAGTACATCTCAGACCGTAAGTTTCTAAATTCCATTAAAATAAGAACAGTATAGCACTTAAAATATCAAATTATCAGTATAAATCAATATTATTTAGGCAAAATCAATAATCATAGAGTAATCCATTTTTCCTTTTATAGGCTAATACTGTTATCAGAAATCTGGCAACAGAAAGGGACCTACTCGGATCAGAATCTTGCAATAAATGAATTAGCTGTGTTTCCAAGGAGTCACCTGAGATTTCCAATAATAAAGGGGACAAAAATCTGATCCGAGAAACTGAATGTAGTGAACAACAGAATAATATATGTTGTAAATATTCTATAGATCTATTATCGCATACACGCACCGCTGAGATCCGACCATTGGAAAATCTATTATTCAAGACATTGGAAGGAAAGGTATTAAATCTTGCCTCAATAAAGGCATATCTGTGGGCCGCTACAGACAAAGAGGTCAAATAAGATGGAATCTGCTGTGAGGGCACTATGCCAAGATTTAATGGTGAGCAAGTGCCACTACCGCTCTTCTTTAAGTTAAGGAGTAAGTTGTTTTTCCTGCACCACTCCCCCAACTGCTCAACTTCCTTTCTATATGCCGCCTCCTCCTCTCCAGCCGTGATTAAACCAACCACCGTTGTATCATCTGCAAACTTGATGATCTTATTACTGGGGTATTTGGGGACACAGCTGTGTACCCGATCAGATGCGCAGCTGTCCTTTGACATTCTCACTTCTCTTAATTTTGTAATGCAGTTCTGTAGCTAAAACATACACCCAAACATATACACGCTAGTCTGCCTTTCGACCAGGAGGGAGCGCCCTTGATCTACATTTCTGGATCATTCCCCAGAGCCAAAAGGCAAAACTTTGCTTCTTCAAGCAGTCTCTTGCAAGTGGCTTGTCTTCTCCTGTCTTAACACTGATGGTTAATGATGCTGGCAGCACAGCAGGTTAGAACGAGAGTCATGCCAAAATCTGCCCTTCGTTTTCTGAAAGCTCCCCCCGTCCCGCTGTGAAAGAGGCTCCCATTTTTATGTTTCATTCTCGGGGCGTATTAGAATTTCAGTGGATGCAAAGTTTTGAGCTTACCTTACGGCTGCGGTGTGTTCTGTCTTTTCTTTGCAGTAGGACATTTCTCCAGCAGTTTCCTGACCCGCAGAACCATAGAATTGTAGAGTTTGAAGGAGCCACGAGGGTCATCTAACTCTAACCGCCTGCAATGCAGGAATCTTTTTGCCCAACACGGGTCTCGAACCCATCACCCTGAGATTAAAAGTCTCATGCTGTACCCATGGAGCTTACCTTGTTTAGTAAGAAGGCTTTTCTCAAGATTGTGAAATCTACAACGGGCTCACGTTTCAAAATCAGGCCTTTTATTGTATTCAATTTTAGTCAAATATTTATAAACCACGCTTGCGTAAAAATGGCAGCGGGCTACAAATTCAACACAAGACTTTTGAAATTTGTTTGGGAGTTCGGCTAAGTAAATCTACAAGATTGGTGCATATAGCTGTGCCCCTATGTAGCATGTTGGGTGAGAAACCATCCCTTGATAGTATTTGGGAAACCTATGAAGAGAATTTTGAAAAGGGTTCAGGGTGGAAAATTTGTTCCAGCTTTTAATTTTTGAAATTCAAAAAACCGTGTTTTTTTGTGGATATTTTTTTTAAACAAACAGACATACCAATAGCGCCCCCTGGTGACCTGTGCGCCTCTTTGCACATTTCAGGGTGCAGGATTAATGCTCCTTGAAGAAAGCAGGTGGGTGAGTGAGCTCTGGCTGTGTTCCTTACGGCCAGAATCGCAGAAGCATGCAAGAAATGGAAATAATGTTCATCATTGTCCCTTTCCTTCCATACCATGGTCTGGCAGAGGGATAAACAGAGCCCTTACATCTCTCCCCCCCCTTTCAACAGCAGGGTTCAGCCCAGACTTTGAACATCATCCTGGCCCTATGTTGTTGGATTGCCCAGACATCCTTCACGGCTGTCAGAGCCTCTGTTCTCCCGCTCTTAAAAACCATTACTTTAATAGCTTGTTTCACACGTTTAGCACTTTGTTTCCATTGCTAATTGAGTCGGCGGGTCCCCTTACAAGATCAACAGGCAGGGTCACCCTCCTTTGCATTCTCCACTTGCTGGCTGGACGAGGCCCGGACTCCTGGCTCGCCTCGCAAGCTGACATTCCTGAGCCGGTCCCTCTGACAGGCCAGGCCTTTTCGCTGAGAAATTCTCAAATTAGCTGGCGCTTTCCTAGACGCCGTGTTCCCAGGGGCTGGCGTTCGGCTCGGGCAGGCAACAGCTGTGCAAACAGCTCCGCTCACCTCTGGCGGGTGCCAGCTGGCGGGGAGTAACGCTCGGCACTGGGAAAGAGGGAGGGGGTGCCAGAGGCAAAGCCAGGACTCGAAGCCCAGATGCCCCATTGAGGTGCCTCTGGACTCAACCCCCAGCCCCATTCCCTTTGGCGGCACCTGCGCAGCCTGACGCCAGCCCAGGCAGGTACAGGGCAAGTCGCGTTTTGCTCTGCAGTGGGGGCATCGAGGGGACTGCTGACTTGTTCAGACTGCTGCCCCATACTGGGATGTGGGACACCTGCGGCCTTCCAGATGTTTGCTGGATTCCAGCAGCCAGGCTGATCAGAGATGGCGATGGGCAGTGCTTTATTTTTAAAGAAAAAAGTGTTACACTTGTAATGTGGGGGGAAAAGGTGCTGGTACAGTGGTACCTCAGGTTACATACGCTTCAGGTTACAGACTCCGCTAACCCAGAAATAGTACCTCAGGTTAAGTCAAGAACTTTGCTTCAGGATGAGAACAGAAATTGCGCAGCAGCATCGGAAGGCCCCATTAGCTAAAGTGGTACCTCAGGTTAAGAACAGTTTCAGGTTAAGAATGGACCTTCGGAACGAATTAAGTTCTTAACCCGAGGTACCACTGTGCTGTGTACCCTTGAGTACATCTAGGATAAAGCACTGGTGATTGGGGAGTTGTGGTCACAGAGTTGTAGAACTGTCGAGTTGCAGGGGACCCCATGGGTCATCTAGTCCAGCCCTCGGTGATGCAGGAATCGTAATGGAAGAATCCCTGGCAGAGGGCCACCCAACCACTCTTTAAAAAGCTCCAAGGAAGCAGAGCCCACCACCATCCAAAGGAGTCTTGTTCTGCTGTCGAAAAGTTGTCACCGTCGGGAATTTTTTCCAGATATTTAGGTGGGGTGTTGGTTTGAGTCTGGGCTTTTATGGGGCAGCAAAGCTCAACTCCTGAACAGCAACAAGAGCACCCTGAGCATGTACAGAGTCCATCCCCTTGGCTGCTGCAAGAATTAACCAAAAAACGCCCAATGATTACGTTGGAAGCGCTTTCGTGAGAAGCCCCTGCGCCTCCTTTCATAGCTGTCAACTTTCAGATTTGAAAATAAGGGATCAGCAGCCTCAAAAATAAGGGATCAGCAGCCTCACCTGTCCCGGGGACAGTCTACGGGATATCTAACAATCCAGGATAGCAGCGGGAAACGGCGCTGGAATAAGGGAATTTCCCACAAAGAAAGGGAAGGTGGACAGCTATGGCCTCCTTTTAGAAAATAAAACTGGCCGCCTGCACCCAGTCTGGAGATTTCCTACCTGAACAGAACCCTGCATTGCTTATGAAAGGAGGACAGTTGTCTCAGAAACAGCTGGTCGGACTCAAAAACTCCCAATTTCTGCAGAGCTGAGGGGAACAAAGCTGCTTTATCCCCGTTTTCCCATCTAGCCCAGTAGTGTCGACACTGACTGGCAACAACGGCTCTCCAGAGTTTCAGGAAGGAACAAACATTTCCAGCCTTGGAGATGCCAGGAGGGATCGAACCTGCGACCTTTTGCATACGGAGTAAAAGCTCTGCCACTGAGCTATGGTGGTTCCCCCGATTCTGAGGCTGTTTGAAAGAGGGACAGGCTGCTTTTGTGTGTACGAGAGAGGAGAGATGAACCATCTTTCAGTCGTCAAAACTCCTTCCAGTCCTCTCCAAATAAAGAGCTTGACTCTGGCCTCTGTTCAGTTTGGGGACATAGCAAACTTGTTAACCTCAAGCAGTGATTTTTGGTTAAGCCTCCCTGGGTGGGGTGGGGGGGCAGTCACCCTGGGGACCTCTCTTAAAGCCAAAGGCATTTCTTGGCTTGGGTGTTTATTGCCCCGCAGAGACTTTTTTTACAGGGCAGAAATATCACAAGATCTGGCGGGGAGAGGGAATGACTTCATGTTCTTCCAGGCTCAGGCATCACCCGACAGCATTCCAAGAGCATTATCGGGAACCGTCGAAATGCCCCGGTGGAAACGCCCAACTTGGAGGACGGAGCTGGGTTTGGGGCATGATCCGGAGGGACGTCTTTGGCGTTGGCTGCACCCAAGCTCTGCGCATGAGGAATGGCTGCTTGGGCAGAAGACGCCCTGGGGGATTATGGTCCAGATTGCCTCTCCCTTGTGCGACCTCGAAAGCCACTGCTTTCTAGGCCTTTTCGTATTGACTTTGGGTTCTCATCAGGCTCCGAAACGGAACCGAGAGAAAAACAAAACGTGAAAGGCTTCGTAAGTGCTTGACATCGTGGTTTCAAAGAAAGGGAGCAAGTTTGCAGGAGCAGGGGGCAAATTTGGGGTTCTGCATCCTGTTCTTACAGTGGCCAAGCAGATGCCTCCAAGGAAGCCCCAAGCAGGACTGGCACATGAGCTGACCTCCTTCTTTTGATTCACAACCACTGGAATTGCTGCCACCAACAGTGGAGCCTGAGCCAAGCCACCTTGTCCAGTCAGTAGCTGTTGATAAAGCCATATCCTCCAGGAATCTGCCCAATCCGCCTTTAGCCATCCAGGTTGGTGGCCATCGCTGCCTCCTGCGGGAGGGAGTTCCAGAGTTTAACTCTGTGCTGCGTGAAAGAGGACTTTCTCTTGCCTGTCCAGAATACCCCGACATTTGGCTTCACTTGGATGCCCACAAGTTCTAGTCTTATGAGAGAGGGAGAAAAACTGAATGTTACACTTAAGGCACAATACAGATCTGGGTAATAGCTGGGCATTCCATTTCTCATTCCAGAAGCCATGGTATATAATTTGATAGGTACAGCACCTATTAATGACTGACCCACTCTGCAATCTTCATCTTCAATCTGTGTCCAAAATGCAGGCTTCAGCAGAAAGCCCATTTATTTATTTACTCACTCACTCACTCACTCACTCACTCACTCACTCACTCGTCCCCTGCATTGTGTCATCAAGTGTTCTGGAGAACTCAACAACTTAAATCCCGTTTGGAGACATTTTGCATAGTCCTAGCCCTACATGGGGATACCATTAGGGATGGATGTGGGTGGCACTGTGGTCTAAAACCACTGAGCCTCTTGGACTTGCCGATCAGAAGGCTGGCGATTCGAATCCCTGCAACGGGGTGAGCTCCTGTTGCTCTGTCCCAGCTCCTGCCAACCTAGCAGTTCGAAAGCACGCCAGTGCAAGTAGATAAATAGGTACCGCTGTGGCAGGAAGGTAAATGGTGTTTCCGTGCATTCTGATTTCCGTCACGGTGTTCCATTGCACCAGAATCAGTTTAGTCATGCTGGCCACACGACCTGGAAAGCTATGTGTGGACATACGCCAGCTCCCTTGGCCTGTAAGCCATATGAGCACCGCAACCCCATAGTCGCCATTGACTGGGCATGATCAGGGGTCCTTTACTTTACCTCTTACCTATTAGGGATGGAACCTGGCACCTTCTTCTGCATGCAGAGCTACGGCCGTCCTCCACCCCAAAGAAGCCACCTGAGCACCCATGCAGCCAGTCCTCTTTAAGGAGCAGGTGCGATGTTCCAGTGGGCCATTTGAGGACATTGGCTGCCGTGGCAGAGGGATGGGCTTTGGGGTAGGTGCTCAGGAGAAGGAACCCCCACCCCTGGGAACGTTCAGCCAGAGCGTTCTGTGCGTTCAATCCCACATTCGGCCGGGCCTGCCAGAGCGCGCGGAGCTAGCCCTCCTATTGGCTGCCAACGCCGCTCTGCTCTGGGGCTGATTTACAGCCTCGCCCTGCTGCTCCTCGCTACCTGGTCGACAGCCATGTGGGTTTGCAGGCCAGCACCAAATGCCTTCGTGACAGCTCAGCTGGCTGTGAGAGCAGGGCAGGAATGTCTGGATTTATGAGCTGGGAAGCTGGGCCATTGTCCAAGTCCTCCCTGGGGGCTCGTGGTGCTGAGTGGAGCTTTGGGGCACTTGCAGGAGGGCCTAGGCTTGCCTTTCCTCACCGAGAAGGCCTTCTTCCTATGCTCTGGCCCCAGGTATCAGGTGACTCTCCCCCCCAATAGGGGGAAACCCTGTCAACCCCCCATCCCTCGCCAGGAGAGCTTTTCTGACCCGTCCATCTCTTTGCGCGCTGAGTTGAAGATTGCAGTGCGAATTAGTTAATTGGTTGTCGTAGAATTATGAGCGCTTTGCACTCTCTGACTTTTTGGAGTCATCCCATTTTGTTGCTTCAGGTGAGGGCCAGAAATCATTGCAAAAGGTTTTACCAACCAGGATTAGCAAGGTCGGACGATGAAGTCTTGAACTGGCAAACCACAAACTCGTTTAAGGCTTGGCTGACGTCAGGGAGCTGGGCAAAGGAGGTGTCCGGTGCCGGCAACGTCCCTGTGCAAGCACCAGGAGGAGAGCTCCTCTCAGCACACCCCTCCATAGTCCTTTGCACCTCATAAAAAAGGAAGGGTGTGGCCTAGCTTGACCCCAAAGTCCCCACTCCCAGCAGCAGGAAAATGACAGCGCTGGGATGCACCCGGTCGGGTGGCCAGGGTGGCATAGAGAGCATCTGATGGGGAGCTGAAAGGACATCTGTCGCGTCCTAATTTGAGTTTACTTGGAAAACAAAAATACAATGTACGAAAAAAGAGCTGGCTGGATCAGGCCAGTGGCCTACCTAGTCCAGCATCCTGTTCTCACAGTGGCCAACCTAGATGCCCTTTTATGGGAACAAGAGCAAAACTGCAACATTCTCTTCTTCTGCTGTTTCCAGCAACTGGTGTTCAGAAACATTGCTAAAACCAAATTGCTGACTGATGTGAACGGAAAAGTGAACGCAAGCGGGGGAATATGAAAGGAACCGAAAGCGGGATCAGTTTGCCGGTGATGTGGCTGCTCCCTGCTGGCCTTTCTTCCTCCTAGGACAACTTCTGCTCCTTGACTCTCTCTGGACTGTGGCCTTGGGAGTGCTGAGGTTCTTTCTGCCACCGCAAGCCACTCTGCAGCTGAAAACAACTGTCTGGCCTGCCGTGTAAGCCTGGGGGCACCCAGGTGTCCGCTTCCCCAGCTCTTGGCAAGGGGCCTTTTCTTCTCTGAACATAACAGGCAGGCTGCCCAAGAACAGAGAACAGGAAGCCCACTTTGTATTAGGCCGGGAGGCGGAGGTCTGTGAGGGGTGCTTTAAGGTTCCCACCGGGAAGGGGGGGAAGAACAGGGTGGTGGTAGTGGCGGCAGCGGTGGCATCGAGCCCCACAATTGTCTCGCAGGCCCTGGAGAGACTGGCGCTACGAAGTGCTGCTTGGCCAAGGCTGAGCCTTGTGTATGGTTCTTGGCCTAGTCTGAGCCATTGGCCAGGTACGTAACTATCCCAGCCATTTCCTCTTGGTTCAAAAGGGAAAGGGGGTTTGGCTATAAATATCCCCTCCAGTCGGGAGGAAAACATTGCAGACAGATTGCGTCCGTGGCAGGCGCGGCCAGCACCCCACTTTTCTTTCCGTCTCTGGCTCAGCGGCAGGGACCGGGGCCAGCTCTGTCCCACATTGGCCGGTGATTGATTGATCCCCCCCCCCGCCCCGTCCAACCCTGTGACTGGGGCCAAGTCTCCGGGTTACGTGCTTGAGGGTGCAGAGAGGGGACCGGGGGAAAGGGAGGCTGAGCTGGACCAGATGGTGCTATTGTCACTCAAACAGGTTTTTGGGGTCATTGGCTAGTTGGGGGACCAGTGGCTCTGTGGAACATCCATCAGTGTTTGCAACTTGCAGAGGAGAGTAGTCTCTCATGCTTTCCATCATTTCTCCGATGAAAATAGGAACGTCTATTTAATAATAATAATAATAATAATAATAATAATAATAATAATAATACAGTCGTACCTTGGATCCCAAACACCTTGCAGTTGAACGTTTTGGCTCCTGAATGCCGCAAACCTGGAAGTGAGTGTTCCAGTTTGCAAATGTTCTTTGGAACCTGAACGTCCGGCGTGGCTTCTGATTGGCTGCAGGACCTTCCTGCAGATGACCGGAAGCCACGCTTTGGTTTCCGAATGTTTTGGAAGTTGAATGGATTTCTGGAATGGATTCCATTAGACTTCTGAGGTACCACTGTAATAATAGTTTTTATTATTTGTACCCCACCCATCTGACCGGGTTGCCCCAGCCAATCTGGGGGGGATTCCAAAATAATAATAATAAAAACATTAAACATTCAAAAACTTCCCCATTCATTTCTGCCTTCAGATGTCTTCTAAAGGTTGTATAGTTACTTATCTCTTTGACTCGGGAGTCAAATAACTCCATACCTTCCAGCATCGTAAGGAGCATCGTAAGGAAAAGCAGGACATTCCAGGATCATATCAGAAACCAGGACAGCTTTTGTAAATCTGGGATGATCCCTGGAAAATAGGGACACTTGGGACTCAACAGCAAAGGGTTGTCTCCCATACTAATCCTACTAAGAATAGGCCCATTAATAGACATAGCTAACTTGGGTCCATTAATTTCAACGGGGAGTTGTGGGGGACACATTGTGCTCCTTCTGGGGTAGTTTGTCTACTTTTGGTCCTCACCCTGCGCTCAGCTCTCACCTGTGGCTCCTAGAAGCTTGTCAGCATGTGACAGCAACCACACCTTGGGAACGGCTTCAACTTTTCG